AGGTACCCGCTCCCCTTCCCTCCCCAAAGGTCCGCAGTCTCTGGGTCATCCCCTGCACTGTGTCTGCAGTCTCTGGGTCATCCCCTGCACTGTGTCCGCAGTCTCTGGGTCATCCCCTGCACTGTGTCCGCAGTCTCTGGGTCATCCCCTGCACTGTGTCCGCAGTCTCTGGGTCATCCCCTGCACTGTGTCCGCAGTCTCTGGGTCATCCCCTGCACTGTGTCCGCAGTCTCTGGGTCATCCCCTGCACTGTGTCCGCAGTCTCTGGGTCATCCCCTGCACTGTGTCCGCAGTCTCTTGTCATCCCCTGCACTGTGTCCGCAGTCTCTGGTCATCTCCTGTACTGTGTCCGCAGTCTCTGGTCCATCTCCTGTATGTCTGCAGTCTCTGGTCATCCCCTGCACTGTGTCCGCAGTCTCTGGTCATCTCCTGTACTGTGTCCGCAGTCTCTGGTCATCTCCTGTACTGTGTCCGCAGTCTCTGGCCATCGCCTGTACTGTGTCCGCAGTCTCTGGCCATCGCCTGTACTATGTCTACAGTCCATTGGTTCAGAATATTTTTTTTCTTGTTTTCCGCCTCTAAAAACTTAGGTGCGTCTTATGGTCAGGTACGTCTTATGGAGCGCAAAATACGGTACATACAAACGTAAGAAGTGTTATAGCATGGTAAAAGAATGCCTTTGGTAAGCCCTCAGTCTGCCAGTGATGTGTAGATGAGTCCTGGTCATGCAGGATATAAGTAAAGTTTATAGGGCAGCAATATGTAATGAAGAGTCTCTTCCCTATGCTGTTTGCATATAGGGGAGAAGCACTTCAGACAGAGGACTGGCACAGCAGGTATGTGATCTACCCATCAACAGGATGATTTACACGGTTTTATTAATACGCCCATAAAGCTTTAAAACCGTTTTATAATGCATTGTGTTAGAAAATATGTTTCTATGTGTCTTGAATTTTATGTGCGAGTTTTCCAGGGATCATCTCTGTGCAGCTCCATGCACTAAAAGATGTATAGTGAATTTTACTGTGTGTAATTATATGAGCTACCCATTCATTCTTGTAGAAGATTAATTTTTCTGGAATCTAAAGAGAACTAAAGCAAGTAGAATTTTTGTTACAACACCTCATACAAAAAAGTAAAAACTGTATTACTAAAATAAAAGTTACAAATAAAATATGAAAGGAAATATTAAAAAATAATAAAAGAAATAAAAGTCTCTGTGAGCTTTGTGTGCAGTTTAAATTCAGCCTAAACTGCAGAACTGTAAAAGGTCTGAACAACTTGAGGGTCTTCATGTTTGAAAGTACAAAACAAATCTATACAAATAACACCAACTTTATAGGGCTCTTAATTGGCACCATGACATTTCTTTACAGTTTTTATGGTACCATACCCTTTATGCATTTCCATCTGACACAGCACTACCTCTATAACTAAAGGCAAAACCTTTTTTTTTAATTTTCATTTTGGATACAGTGGAGAGGGGAAAAATCCCGGCAGTTTTTATTCTGTCTGTGCCCCCTTTAAGGAAATTCACCCTCTCTATTTGTCCTGTTTACCATTATTATTAAAAATTAAAGTAAAAGAAAATCCCAAATTTTGGGTTGTCCCCAGAAAAGTAAGAAAGGGAAAATCTTCCAATGGGGACATTAGTTCTGGTGACTTGGGTGCCCCCATGAATTCCCTTCATTTTCAGGGATTGCCTCTCACTTCCTGCTTGGCTATGGGACAGAAAGTGAAGAAAAATATTTTCAATTAAACACAGATGGCAAAAAAAAAAAAAAAAAAAAAATATTTGACAGGGGTTAGAACCCCTCCTTACACTACCAAAAATGAAAAGAAAATTTACCTATAGTTCTATTTTAAGTCTGTTTAGAGCTAATAGACCCCCCCCCCTTCAAAATATGAGTGAGACCTGACTTGATTGCTGTGGCATTATTCAATCAATTACTAGTCACCGTCTGAAACAGCAGCAGTTATTGTGGAAAACACTTTGTCCCAGATTCCTGGTAGATTCTTGTACATATTAAGCCTCTTCTTGTGATCTGAGCAGATTCCCACCCTTTGTACCACACTAGAATACTCTAATGGGGAGCCGAATAGGAATAGTACAAGTACTGGGACATTAATCACACGCCTCAGTTAATACGCTTCTTACACAATTCATCAATACATTCCAGAGCCTTGTGCAGGTCATGCATGTGATCTATTGTGTCTTGTGCACTTCTGGTAGTTCTCTGCAGGACTGGGAACTTACATAACATGGCATTGTAGGTTTTTCTTTGAATACTTTTATAAATCAAATAAAATATTAGATGTGTCGCGCTCCACTACTCAAAAGTGTTTACAATACTCTCCCCTTCAAACGTGTATAATATGAACATCTATACTAATTGATAATACATAATCCAAATAAATAAATAATTATTAATCCTTAGTGATATGATTTAAAATTAAAACACCCCTTGTGCTGTAATTAATTGTAATATAATCTTGCTAAATTAATAAAATTGATAATGTGAAAAAACTAAAAAAATCTATTCAAATTCCATATGCGTGATATTAAAATTAATCAAATCAGATAAACAAAAAACCTCCATTCATATTGATATATATGTGCAAAACATATGTGTGCAAAATTGCAAAATACACATAACAATTTTATGGAAAAATAATAATGAAAAAATATTAAAGAGTAATAAACAAAATTAATAAAAAATAATAAATAATGATAAAAAAAAAACTCTATTTATAGTTTTGCTGTGCAGATGATATAGTATGCTCACGTCCCTCACCTGTGCAGCCTAAAATAGTAATTAGAACTGTATACTGATTGTCCTTATCTTAGGTAAAATATAAACGTCCCAATCTGTATATAGAAGTATATGGAAAATATATCGCTGTTGGAGTGGGCTGTAATGTTACTTTCCTTCCACTAGATGGCCTCCCAATTTCTTCTGGGTTATGAGGGCTGGATGGATAGATATGGATATGGGATATCTCCCCTCGTCCTGTGGGGGTCTATCTCCTATCTCTCTTCTTCCCTTTTGCTCCTCCAATTTAGGCCATGAAAAAAGAAAAATCCCCACATAGTGTACAGGGATGACCAGATGACTGCCCCAAAAAAGGGCGGAAAATCCTTTACAAAAGCTTTTAATTTGTCTCCGGCAAAATGCGAACTCACATTCCACAAAGCAATACAGAGCGTTTTTCAATGTGTGCCCTTGCACAATAACAGTACTCGCCGTTCTGCTGAAAGTGGCGTCGTGACGATCAGAGCCCCTCCCCTACGCGTTACGCCACAGGGTCACGTGGCCTCCTCAGGGGTATCCCCCTGAGGAAGCCACGTGACCCTGTGGCGTAACGCGTAGGGGAGGGGCTCTGACGTCACGACGCCACTTTCAGCAGAACGGCGAGTACTGTTATTGTGCAAGGGCACACATTGAAAAACGCTCTGTATTGCTTTGTGGAATGTGAGTTCGCATTTTGCCGGAGACAAATTAAAAGCTTTTGTAGTAAGGATAAAGCACTATGTGGGGATTTTTCTTTTTCATGGCCTAAATTGGAGGAGCAAAAGGGAAGAAGAGGAGATAGGAGATAGACCCCCACAGGACGAGGGGAGATATCCCATATCCATATCTATCAGGGAGATATTTCCGATATCCATATCTATCCATCCAGCCCTCATAACCCAGAAGAAATTGGGAGGCCATCTAGTGGAAGGAAAGTAACATTACAGCCCACTCCAACAGCGATATATTTTCCATATACTTCTATATACAGATTGGGACGTTTATATTTTACCTAAGATAAGGACAATCAGTATACAGTTCTAATTACTATTTTAGGCTGCACAGGTGAGGTGAGCATACTATATCATCTGCACAGCAAAATTAAATAGAGTTTTTTTTATCATTATTTATTATTTTTTATTAATTTTGTTTATTACTCTTTAATATTTTTTCATTATTATTTTTCCATAAAATTGTTATGTGTATTTTGCAATTTTGCACACATATGTTTTGCACATATATATCAATATGAATGGAGGTTTTTTGTTTATCTGATTTGATTAATTTTAATATCACGCATATGGAATTTGAATAGATTTTTTTAGTTTTTTCACATTATCAATTTTATTAATTTAGCAAGATTATATTACAATTAATTACAGCACAAGGGGTGTTTTAATTTTAAATCATATCACTAAGGATTAATAATTATTTATTTATTTATTTGGATTATGTATTATCAATTAGTATAGATGTTCATATTATACACGTTTGAAGGGGAGAGTATTGTAAACACTTTTGAGAAGTGGAGCACGACACATCTAATATTTTATTTGTCTATTTTCACACAGCACCATGAGTATGTGTTTTTGTGTTGATGCACCATCACATTTCTAGGAGTTAGTCATTTATAAGTATTGTTTATACCTCTATGGTAGCTCACAAGTACACACCATTATAAAACTTTTATAAATCACTGCAAAACAAAAAGTGCGCCTATGGTACGTAAACTAATCTTTTCTGAAAGTTTGTTGATTTAGGAAAAACACATTCAAAGCTAAACCCTATTTAAAATTAGAGATACAAACTAAGAGGAAGAAAAAAAAAAAAAAAAAAGTGTATTTGGAGGAGGCCTATCATTGCCCCCTATGAAAAGTGTACCTGAACTTTGGGTATGAGAACGCTCTACCACAGCGCAATACATATAGCAGCAGATATCTGTAATGTACCACTGGCTATAATTGTATAGAAGGAGGATTTCTGGTTTACATTAGGTAGCCCAGCTAAACTTATTTTTACATTTCATTATTCAAGTTTCTAAAAAAAAAAAAAAAAAAATTCCCCTCTGCCCATGGCACCTGTTCTCCTATACACAGTGAAGAAAGAAGTAAATGGAAAGTGAAATAGCGGCAGCAAGCAAATAAGCAGCCTTTTCCTTCTGTACATGGGTCCCAGTGTAAACAAAGCAAGCAAGAAGCACATAGTTACCGAAAGTTCAGCTTGTCAGGATCTAGGGTCAAGGAATCAAGGCCCAGATTGTCAGGATCCATTTCCAATCCTGAAAGAAGATAAAAAGAGAACACGTGAGAGCAGATCTAACAGGAAATGTTGTGTTTACAGAGACCGAAGAACATCTCTAGCATTGTAAGGATCATCATCCAATATTTACAAGATGCCAAACATTTATGTAACTGTGTATAATATCTAAGAGCTATCTTCTAGCATACTAAAATTAAATATGAAAGAGCAGAGAAAGCTTTGGTAAAAGGTTTATACTGTAAGCTCTAAATTAAGTCTTGGCAAAGCGCAGGCTAGCTCATAGACATGATTGGTTCTTGAGTCATGAATTTTAAAAGGGAAACTATAATAGCTTTTTTTACATTTACAAGTTTTACATGGCTTTTATACCATTTTATGATTACTTGCAGGGTGGATAAAAATCAATGATTTTTTAAAAAAAATCAAAAAAATCCGATTTTTTTTATTTAAATCGGATTTTTTTTTGAATAAAATGCTTTTTCAGGAAAATATATTACCATCCAAAGGTTATTCCATCATGAAATAAAGATTCATTTTTTAATTATGTAGAATAAGGCTGTATATGTTTAATTTTTTTGGTAAATAAATTCCAATTAATCCATTCACAATGTCATGCTCTTCCAGAGGTTTTTGTAAGATTATTGGGCAGTTTCTCTGCCTACAAGATATTATCACAGAAGCTTGGTTTACTTTTGCAGTTCTCAAAACTGAATTTGACTCAGCGGAGATCACATGCCTCTTCTTCACAGCAAAAATGTTATAACATGAACAGAGTTAAGAAAAAGACCTTAATCCTAACTTCTACAAACCTATGAATACAGAATCAACCCCTTCAGTGCTAAGTTTCAAGAAGTTCAGTGAATAGAATAGAAACAATATTTTTCTGATTGTTTGGAGTGGAATAGATCTGCACAAGAAGAAAGTGAAACTAAGTGTGAGGAGGAAGGGGCTGAAAGTCTAAGTTTCTTAAAATATATACAGTCAGGTCCATAAATATTGGGACATCGACACAATTATAACATTTTTGGCTCTATGCACCACCACAATTGATTTGAAATGAAATGAACAAGATGTGCTTTAACTGCAGACTGTCAGCTTTAAATTGAGGGTATTTACATCCAAATCAGGTGAACGGTGTAGGAATTACAACAGTTTGCATATGTGCCTCCCACTTGTTAAGGGACCAAAAGTAATGGGACAATTGGCTTCTCAGCTGTTCCATGGCCAGGTGTGTGTTATTCCCTCATTATCCCAATTACAATGAGCAGATAAAAGGTCCAGAGAATTCATTTCAAGTGTGCTATTTGCATTTGGAATCTGTTGCTGTCAACTCTCAAGATGAGATCCAAAGAGCTGTCACTATCAGTGAAGCAAGCCATCATTAGGCTGAAAAACAAAACAACCCCATCAGAGAGATAGCAAAAACATTAGGCGTGGCCAAAACAACTGTTTGGAACATTCTTAAAAAGAAGGAACGCACCGGTCAGCTCAGCAACACCAAAAGGCCAGGAAGACCACAGAAAACAACTGTGATGGATGACCGAATAATTCTTTCCCTGGTGAAGAAAAACACCCTTCACAACAGTTGGCCAGATCAAGAACACTCTCCAGAAGGTAGGTGTATGTGTGTCAAAGTCAACAATCAAGAGAAGACTTCAGAGTGAATACAGAGGGTTCACCACAAGATGTAAACCATTGGTGAGCCTCAAAAACAGGAAGGCCAAATTAGAGTTTGCCAAACGACATGTAAAAAAGCCGTCACAGTTCTGGAACAACATCCTATGGACAGATGAGACCACGATCAACTTGTACCAGAGTGATGGGAAGAGAAGAGTATGGAGAAGGAAAGGAACTGCTCATGATCCTAAGCATACCACCTCATCAGTGAAGCATGGTGGTGGTAGTGTCATGGCGTGGGCATGTATGGCTGCCAATGGAACTGGTTCTCTTGTATTTATTGATGATGTGACTGCTGACAAAAGCAGCCGGATGAATTCTGAAGTGTTTCGGGAATATCATCTGCTCATATTCAGCCAAATGCTTCACAACTCATTGGACGCCGCTTCACAGTGCAGATGGACAATGACCCAAAGCATACTGCAAAAGCAACCAAAGAGTTTTTTAAGGGAAAGAAGTGGAATGTTCTGCAATGGCCAAGTCAATCACATGACCTGAATCCGATTGAGCATGCATTTCACTTGCTGAAGACAAAACTGAAGGGAAAATGCCCCAAGAACAAGCAGGAACGGAAGACAGTTGCAGTAGAGGCCTGGCAGAGCATCACCAGGGATGAAACCCAGCGTCTGGTGATGTCTATGCAGCCAAGTATTAAAAAGTGAAAGTTTGATTTATGATTATTATTCTGTCCCATTACTTTTGGTCCCTTAACAAGTGGGAGGCACATATGCAAACTGTTGTAATTCCTACACCGTTCACCTGATTTGGATGTAAATACCCTCAAATTAAAGCTGACAGTCTGCAGTTAAAGAACATTTTGTTTGTTTCATTTCAAATCCATTGTGGTTATTGTTTCAGTTGAATAAATCTATTTAAATTGTTATTTTTAAGGTAATGATTATTTTTCTCCTTCCGAAGTACAACAGAAAAGTTGTCCAAATATGAATGATTAACCTATTTAACTGGGGATAAAAAAAACTAATATGAAAAGTTGTTATTCTAAAAATCTTCATCTACTTGCATATTAAAGTTATATCAGCAAGAATTAGTCTATGTACAGTGGGGCAAAAAAGTATTTAGTTAGCTACCAATTGTGCAATTTCTCCCACTTAAAGATGAGAGAGGCCTGTAATTGGCATCATAGGTAGACCTCAACTATGAGAGACAAAATGAGAAAAAAAAATCCAGACAATCACATTGGCTGATTTGGAAAGAATGTATTTGCAAATTATGGTGGAAAATAAGTATTTGGTCACCTACAAACAAGCAAGATTTCTGGCTCTCACAGACCTGTACCTTCTTCTTTAAGAGGCTCCTCTGTCCTGCACTCATTACCTGTATCAATGGCACCTGTTTGAACTTGTTATCAGTATATAAAAAGACACCTGTCCACAACCTCAAACAGTCACACTCCAAACTCCACTATGGTGAAGACCCAAAGAGCTGTCGAAGGACACCAGAAACAAAATTGTAGACCTGCACCAGGCTGGGAAGACTGAATCTGCAATAGGCAAGCAGCTTGGTGTGAACAAATCAACTGTGGGAGCAATAATTAGAAAATGGAAGACATACAAGACCACTGATAATCTCCCTCGATCTGGAGCTCTACACAAGATCTCACCCCGTGGGGTCAAAAGGATCACAAGAACGGTGAGCAAAAATCCCAGTACCACATGGGGGGGACCTGTGAATGACTGCAGAGAGCTGGGACCAACGTAACAAAGGCTACCATCAGTAACACACTACGCCGCCAGGGACTCAGATCCTGCAGTGCCAGAACGTGTCCCCCTGCTTAAGCCAGTACATGTCCGGGCCATCTGAAGTTTGCTAGAGAGCATTTGGATGATCCAGAAGAGGATTGGGAGAATGTCATATGGTCAGATGAAACCAAAATAGAAACTGTTTGGTAGAAACACAACTCGTCGTGTTTGGAGGAGAGAGAATGCTGAGTTGCATCCAAAGAACACCATACCTACTGTGAAGCATGGGGGTGGCAACATCATGCTTTGGGGCTGTTTCTCCGCAAGGGACCAGGACGACTGATCCATGTACAGGACAGAAAGAATGGGGCCATGTATCGTGAGATTTTGAGTGCAAACCTCCTTCCATCAGCAAGGGCATTGAAGATGAAATGTGGCTGGGTCTTCCAACATGACAATGATCCCCAAACATACCGCCCCGGGCAACGAAGGAGTGACTTCATAAGAAGCATTTCAAGGTCCTGGAGTGGCCTAGCCAGTCTCCAGATCTCAACCCCATAGAAACCTTTGGCGGGAGTTGAAAGCCTGTGCTGCCCAGCAACAGCCCCAAAACATCATGCTCTAGAGGAGATCTGCATGGAGGAATGGGCCAACATACCAGCAACAGTGTGTGCCAACCTTGTGAGACTTACAGGAAAACATTTGACCTCTGTCATTGCCAACAAAGGAATATAACAAAGTATTGAGATGAACTTTTCATAATTATTATTATTATTATTTATTACATCTAGTTTATATTAGCGCCAAAGGGTTTGCTCAGCGCTGTTACAATAGAGAGGGGGGGACAATACATGAAACAGTACAGCAACTACAAACAGCACACGAGGGGTTATAGGGCCCTACTCTTTCGAGTTTACAATCTAGGAGGGATTAGGTCATGGGGGGGTAGTGGTACAGGAGGAAGTGGCTGTGGGGGATGGAGTGGTAGGAGGAATGAAGGAGAGCAGCAGTTAGGTGAGGGTGGGGTAGGCTTCCCTGAAGAGGTGGGTTTTCAGGGAGCGCCCTGAAGGTGAGGAGGGAAGGTGACAGTCTGATGGATTGGGGTAGTGAGTTCCAGAGGATGGGGGAGGACCTGGAGAAGTCTTGCAGACGTGCATGTGAGGAGGAGACCAGGGAGCAAGATAGAAGGAGGTCCTGTGAAGAGCGAAGGGTACGGGTAGGGTGGTACTTGGGAATCAGGTTGGTGAGGTAGTTAGGGGCAGTGTTGTGAAGGGCTTTGTAGGTCAGAGTGAGCAGTTTGAATTTGATGCGTTGGGCGGATAGGGAGCCAGTGGAGGGATAGGCAGAGGGGGGTGGCAGAGGTGGAGCGGGTGGTGAGGTGGGATGAGTCTGGCCGCTGAGTTCAGGATGGTCTGAAGCGGGGAGAGTTTGCACTGGGGTAGGCCGGTGAGGAGGGAGTTGCAGTAGTCAAGGCGTGAGATAATCAGGGAGTGTACGAGTAGTTTAGTGGTGTCTGGGGTAAGGAAGGTGCGTATTTTGGCGATGTTCCGGAGGTGGAGCCTGCATGTGTTTGTAAGTGATTTGACATGAGGTTGGAAGGAGAGGTTAGAGTCCAGAATGACTCCAAGGACTTT